GTTATACTGCATAAAACATACATGATGAATGCTATGTTTTTTCACAAAATTCTCTCTAGATAAAAATGACCCATTGACATCCAAAAAATCATCAATAATTTTTACACCATTTTTATACCATTCTTTATAAAAAATACTCTTTTTATTCACTTTGATACAAGAGTTTAGCCAAACTGGGGTTGATAAAATTTCAGACTGTGTAAGATTTGCCTTGTCAAAACAATTATCAGTGATGACAGATAACCAAGACTCTAAGACATCTTTCCAAAATTTGTTTTTTGTACATTTTAACATTTTCAACACAAAATCATCACCCAAATTCAAAATCTTTTCCACCACATCTTGCCCATAAACTATTTCAAAAATACTCAACCATGAATGACTTCCTTTAATAATTCTTTGAATCCATGAACATTTTAGAGAAAGTATAAAATTTTTAAGATGTACCATGTTAAGGCCTCCCAATGTCTGGTGTTGCGTAGCAACAACACGTTTTATTTTATCACTTTTTGACCCCCATACAAATCTAAACAACTGCTGTGTTAAATTGTCTAAGATTTCTTCATTTGGATTTGGTAATGAGATAAATAGATGGTTCAATTTTGGTACAATTAAAGTTTTTGCAACTGTTACCCGTCCAATGGGAGTTAGAATACGTCTTTTCCATTGCTGAATCATTGAAGTGATTTTTGGCAATTGGACTTTGAAATTTATATCAACAATCTTTTCTAGGTCAACAGAGTAGCAAGGAGAAAGTTGTTGCCCCCCAATCTAGCTTCCATCTTGAATGGTGGAAAACCTCAGCAGAAAATTTTTTTGAGCCTATCCAAATAATTTTAGTTTTTGTACTGTTTATTTTCAAACCTGAAAATTTTGCATATAATTCTAATGTATCAAGAGCAGCATACAAAGAACCTGCAGAACCATCAAGGGCAAGAGAAGTATCATCAGCAAATTGAGATATTTTGTGTTCCTTATCATTTACAACAATACCCTTTATATCATGATTTTGTTTAATAAGAATGGCTAAAATTTCTGCACAGAGAAGAAAAATGTATGGAGAAACAGGGTCTCCCTGGCGACATCCACGCTGGACTGGAAATTGCTTAGAAAGAAAACCGCTTTGGAGTATAGAAGCTTCAAAATTTGTGTTTAAAATTTTAATCCATTTAATTATATTTTTACCAAAACCAAAAAAGTGTAAAACCTTGTAAACAAAAGACCATGAAATGGAATCAAAGGCCTTCTCAAAGTCGATGAGAACCAACAATCCCGGTATATTATTTATTTCAGTATAAGACATAAGATCATAAATAAATCGTGTGTTTTCCCCAATATATCTCCCTTTCATAAATCCTGTTTGTGTTTCTGAAATTAGAAGATCGAGTGTAGATTTTATTCTATAACTAATACAACCAGATATTAACTTATAGAATACGTTTAACAGAGTTATTGGTCTCCAGTTTTTTAAGAGATGTCTTGGCTTGTCTCCTTTTGGCAAACAAGATATTATACCAAGTCTCTGGGATATTGGAAGCTGTGTCTGAAGAAATATTTGATTTATTGCTTTTAAGATAAACATTTTAAGATCATTCCAGAAAAACTTAAAGAATTCAGTTGTGAATCCATCACTTCCGGGTGATTTATTATTATTCATATTTTTCAGTACCAGAAAAACCTCCTCTTCTTCTATATCTTTATCTAGAATTAATGTTGTTTCTATGTCTAATTTTGGAACATTGTGGTATTGAATGGCATTAGAGAGATCTACGTCTATCAATTCAGAATCTGCGTTTTTATATAAAGTTTCATAATAATTTTTTACTTCGTTTAGAATATCAGATTGTTTATATATAATACCTTTGTCTAGAGTTTCTACCTTTTTTATTGTTTTGTTCAGAAAATTTCTAGACTCAAGATGACAGAAATATTTTGTTGGCTTTTCCCCTTCTTCCACCCACTTGGCTCTAGATCTGATCATATTACCTTTTAGTTTTTCTTTTCTTAAATTTTCAAGAGTAGATTTTTTTTCTTCCAGTACAGAGAAATCAGGAATTGTACTTTTGTTTTCCAAATCCTCTATTTCCTTAATTAATGATTTTTCTAATTTATCTTTTTCTCTTTTTTTGAAAGTTGAATATGATATAGTTAACCCCCTGATTTCCATTAGTAGTATGTCAAAAAATACAGAGTCATCAACTGAAGTCTCTACTTCTACTCCATTTAGGTCCTGAGAATACTGGTTTTTAACTAATTGAATTTTTTGTTTCACCTTTTCAACATACTCTTTATCATGTAAAAGATTATTGTTAAATTTCCATAGTCCACGTCCTCGTTCAAATAAATTAAACTTTAACTCAATTGTAACTGAAGAATGATCAGATCTATACCCAGGTTTTATATCAAAATGTTCAACAATATTTGATAGGTTTTCTGATATAAGGATGTAGTCAAGACGACCCTGCTTAACTGGATTTTTTCTTCTCCATGTATAAACTTTTTTATCTGGGTTAAGTATTCTATAATAGTCAACTAAATTCAAATCATTCATTATTTCAATAAGTTTATCTCTGGCTTTGGGGTTATTTACATTTGCATAATTAAATGTGTCTATGTTGGGATTCAATGCCAGATTAAAATCTCCACACAGGATAAAATAATCATTATCAAATTCTAAGAAATAATCCCTAACTTTTTCATAAAATTCAGGGCTATCGTAATTTGGGCCATAAATATTAATAATAGTAATTCTGTTATCATCAACACTTATGTCAAGTGCTAAAATATTACCCTCATTATCTTTTTTCTCCCTGTGGAGCTTTAGTTCAAAATTATTATTGAAAAAAATAGCTACCCCTCTAGAGTTTGACAAATATGAATTAAACACACATTTATAGCCCCACTGAGTCTCTACACATGATTCTAAGTCAGTTGTAAAATGGGTATCCTGAAAACAAACTATAGAATAATTTTTTGTTTTATAAAAGTTTAGTACATCTTTTCTCTTTGATTGTGTATTTAACCCTTGACAATTGACTGTTGCTATTTTTATCGAACCCATATCGGTGTAAAAATAATGCTAAGTTCATTACATTCATACTGGCCTTCCACACAAACAATCTCACTGAAAAACATAATACAGGAATGAAAAAGTAAACAAATGAAAGAAAAGAGAAAAAAATAAATGAATAGAAAAAAAAAGAAAAAAAACACGTAAAATCTGAAAAATAGACTTTAAATTGACACTAAAGTCAGCCGTGGATCATCCAAACTAGCAGGACTCAAACCGGAAGTTTATGGTGTGACTGTTATTAACAAAGTAAACAATGGCGGAACATTTTTTCCCGAAAAAATCACTTACTAATTTTCTTGATCTTGTCGTCTAGATCATCTGTTATGTCAAATTTCGTTCTTTTTTCGCTTCCCTCGATTTGTGCATAGATGGAACCGTTAAAGTACCATGCAGATTCGATGTCTTCTCGACTTAGAAGTTTACTGATAAGTTCCCCATTTGCTTTTGTCACATCGTCCACCAATTTCAAACCGTTTCCTAGTTTCTTTATATCTGAACGCTTCCTCATGACTCTGGCCTTGGCATCTGAGTTGATCACTTTAACAATAATGGGCCTTGGCTTTCCGTTCTCTCCCGGAATACGATGCGCTGCTATTATTTCGCGATCTTGGAGTTGTACACCTGCGTTCTCCTGAATAAACTCTTTTACAACCATCTGAGTGTTTTCTTTCTCCATCTCCATAACTCCCATGATCTTAAAATTATATTTTCTGGAGTATTGTTCATTTCTGTTGCTCAATCTGAAAGCTTCACCTGCAATTTTTTTGTTCATTTGCACCCTCTGTTTTAATTCTCTGATTTCTTTATTGCTCTCCGCTAATTTCTCGGCTAGTACTTCTGCCCTTGATTCAAGTTTTTCAATATCTCCCGCTGCCTTATCTATTTTCTTTTGAAATTCAACTTTTAATGCCTGGCACTGTTCTTCTACTTCTGCTTTTACACTCTCATCTCTTTCTTTATTGTTTTGTTCTATAATTTTTTTCACAATTGTGGTTACAAGCGTCTCCAACTTATCAGCTTTGACAGTTTTTTTAATTTCAGTTTTTAATTCCACGAGATCTTTTGAAATCTGGGTTAGCTGTTTACTTACGTCTGTCAAAGTGCTTTCCTCTTGATTTTCATTGTTTGATTTTTCATTTTTCTCTCCTTTTTTATTCCCTCGGGTAGATCACTAGGGGTCGACATTCTTACCGTGTAGAGTGACCGTGAACAGTTTTCACAACAGGCACTGGTGCGGGTTTTTTAAATGTACACTTTACTTATATGATCTTCAATACCAAGTCCCAATCACAATCGCATTCACATTCACTTACAATTCACAATATTATTTGCATGGATATATCAGTGAGAAGGTATCACATAATTTCCACATTCAGGAACGGTTTAGAATTAGTATTAATTAAGAGTCCAGCATGTTTTCGACCACTCGCTAAACAGCACGTCTTGCCTGGCCGAGCGCCATTTTTAAAGCCAACCCCTACAGTGCTATCTATTCCTCTTTTGATGGGAATTTAACGTGCATGTAGGCTCGAATGAAGAGTCAGATTGTCTAGAAAGAGCTGGATACAATACAATGTACCCTAATTTAAGACTTTTAATTACGTATAGATAATTAATGTTGAGAACAAGAGTAGCATTAGGGCAGATAATGGCATCGCCTGGATTGGACGGCGCTGTTTTCAAATCCCTTACAAAACTACATCCTATTGTAATGTATGTGGTATTTCAACTAATAAAAAGAGGCCGGGTTAAGGGTTTCAAGAAAAAAAAATTACCAAAAATGGGAGAATAGCTCAGAATCTGACTGAATGAGGGGGGGGGGGGTGTCTTTTTGTTTGGCCTCATAAGGATATTCGTCAAACGCTTACACAGCCTTGGTGCATTGACGTCATTTGATCTAATTATGACGTAATAATCTAGGCTATACATCTGTGTTCGAGATAAATCAATGAGTAAATTGCAAAAAGTAGCACAATTTCTTTGTACTTGCCAGAGACAAGTCAGCATTGTTCAGGTGGGTAAAAATAGCGTTCTTGAATACTTTTTGATGATTTCTATTTAATTACATGAGCTTTCTTTTTTTTCACTCTCTTCATTTACGATAACTCTACCGAAAGAGTTTTCTATATTTACTTTCTTAACCTTTTTTTAAAAAATGAAAATAATTATCGTTCTTTATTCCGGAGAAAGATATTCCTGCCCAGAGTTTAAAAATAGTCTTCCCGGAAATTAAAGAGAAAAGAAAAAAAAGGTGAAGGTCAAGTTGTCTGAAGGTGATCTGAAGCGGTAGGATTCTAATTTCTGCAGTGTTTTGACGAGTATTGCAGCTTGTCAAGGTAAAATACTTTAAGAGGCTGTCCACCAAAAAACCAGGCAATGGGCGGCACATCGCATGTCATGGATTTTGATTATTTTTTGCATGTAGACTTATTAAAGCAAGTGTTTCAACATGACAACATCAAAAAATTTTATAGTGCTCCTCTAGTCCTAGTTTTGGTAAATGCTTAATTTTAAGTGCAAAAAGGTCAACATGAGGGTAAAAAAAAATACTACGTTTTTATTTTGTTTTATATGTAACAGATACTCCAGAGGTGGATGTGCCGATGAATATTATTTATAGAATAGACTTTTATCTTTTATTTTATGAATGAATAAGACTCCAATTTATACTTCTTTAGAAAAAAAATATCTGGTCCAAATTTGAGTTTAACAAGTAAATGTTTAAATTCAGTATCCAATTTTGATTACGTTATAAAACCCAATACAATACAAGGACATATTTCTTTACTTATGCTTTTATGAATACAAAGTACAAACTTTTGGGCCATTCAATAAAATTATTGGGAAAAGGTATTTTGAAAGAAATAAAAGGAGTCAAATTTACTTATTTTTCATAGTTTTCACAAATGAAACCGATCCCGACCGGAATTGTATAAAGAAGAAAATACTAAAATAATAATGTCAAATTTGGCTCTTTTGTTGTAATATGATTAAGAAATTACTTGATTTATTTTTTTAACATATTATATAGGTGACAGGTGCCTTTAGTTTGATAAATTTATTAATTTTGCATTATTTTCGATCGGGATCGGTTTTATTTCAATCGGGATCGGTTTTTCCGTAAATTTTGAAAAATTTCCTAAATTTGGCTCTTCATGTTAATTTCTCAGAAAAAATGCTAGTCTGTTATTTCTTTTCAGTCAGTTTACTGTTTTTAAATGAGTGTAACCATAGATTCAAATGTATGTATTATTTAAATTACCAATGTCTTTTACTTACATGAAGATTACATGTAAAACATCTAATCTGATTGATTTCTTAATCGAAACTAGTGATTTAAAAAAAAAAAAATTTTTGCATGCATTATGCAACAACCAGAGCAGACAACTTTCTAGCTTCATTATTCATCTCATTTCCAAGTAAAATTTCTTTTTTATTTGTCTCAGGAATTAAAGAGTAAATTCTATCAGTAGCGAAATTAAAATTGCCTAAATGCAAGAAATATTTTTATGTGTACAGTCTCTACTTTATCCAAGTTTTTTCTTACCTGTCATCTGTAAAGCCTTTTCATCTTTTACAAAATTTGGTTTTATATAAATAAGAAAATAAGTTCTTTCATGTAAATTATAAGTATTCAAGAGCCGATAAATCGCAAGCAAGAAGCGCGGAAGGGGGGGGGGTGCGGGGTCATGGCATAATTATTTTTAAAAATTGGTTTCATGAACGTGAAAACATTTTAGTATTGGTCAACATAGTCACAGGTTTATACTCCATATTAAATATGAGCGTGTGATTGTTTCAATCGCCGAATAAAAATTAAGAAATAAAATTAAAAAAAAAAATGTTTCACTAAACCACCTTCCGTTATAGTGGCAAATTATAGTCGGGAGTTCAGCAGTAATATTTTTATAACTTATTTTTCAGGGTTTTTTTTTCATTTTTAATCGTACTGTAGATCATTTATTTTGATTTGATTGCATAGATGAATGTATTTAAGTTTTAGTTTTTACATCTACCAACTTCGCTGAATTAAATGTTGCGTAAATCTAAAACATTCATCATTGATTCCCAATTTTATAAGAAATGTTCTGAATCATTATAAACACTTCATTAATTATTTTAACGTATATCCTGGTAAATCAATTTTAAAAAATTAGTTCTCGGTCATGTATAAAATTACTTATCAAAACGTCATCTTGCTGAGACGCCGCCCGTGTACTTTGTAAAATACATTTTGATATTAAAATATTATTTAACATTTAGTATAATGCACTCTGAAGAGTATTTAACAGAAAAAGAGAAATCATTTTAAAAAAAATATTTTTCTTTACACTTTACGCAAAGAATTTACAAACTTGTCTGGAAAACTTGTAACTATTTCATTGTGACGCAATATTATGACGTCACTGATACATCAATGGAAACGTGGATTTAACCTGAATCTTATAGTCAATTTTAATCTAAATATTATGTTTGGAGGCGAAAATGAATTATATTTTGAAAATAAATTATTTATTTTGTGTTTAATAATTTTCTTTAGTGTATCGATTCTAAATATTTCACTAGGATTCCGATTAAAATGTGTTTAGCAGATTTACCGATGCCACGGGAGATAACTCTTGCATCGCAAATTTTCATAAAAACGTCTATATATTTTGCCAGAAAACTTCTATTAAAAGTGTTTTTCCCAATGATTTTATTTGTTTAACAAAAAGATGAAATATTTCAAGATTTATTTCAGTGTGAATTATAGTCCTCTTAAAATTGTATTGGAAATTACAGTTCTTTGTTTCTGACCTACTTTCAATGGTTTATATAGGGGGAGTCAAAAACACAAAACACAAGGATATTTTACTGAATAAGCAATTTTTAAATAAATCTTCAATTACATTATTCCTTTTGGGCTACATTTATATTGTTTTTCATAAAATATCAAATATTCCTCACATTCGATGTGCCGCCTATTAATACAATACTGCCTGGTTTTTCGGTGGACTGCCTCTTAAGAACTCTACTCAGATAGATAGATTTCAGACGGGAAACCCTTGCATTAGACCGCGTTTATGTTAAAAAGATATGGAAACTGGCCTAAACCAGCTAAGCCATTGATCACTAAATGAATGCATGGTTCTGCATATTTTAATTCATTTGAAACGACTTGAAAGAAAGTGCAAAAATTACAATTGAATCAGGCTGCTATTCCTAAGTTTGGATCCTAAGCTTAGGTATAATATAGGGCGCGACATAGAACAATTTTTTGTTTGTGTTTGATTTGAACATCAGTGAACACGCTGAAATTATCTTTCCTCTGAACATGCTGAAAGTATAAATGAGTGCAATGCTTGGGGAGGGGTACCTTGGGTTATTATTGTACTATGGGTTAAAAATTTATTACCGAAACAAGTGCCTGTGATTCAGGGTGGGGGGGGATTTGTGTACCACCAAAATCCCCAGCAGGTCCAGTGTAATGTACTGTAGTGTACTGCTCCTGAGAATCATAATTTTGTCCCATTTGAGCAACAGTCCAGGGGAAGGGGGTGCCAATGGTCTCCCAGCCTATGGTTGGAGTGAAACGGTTCACCGCGGTATCGATTCATCGCAGTATTTTTTCTCGGTTCGATACAAGGTACAAAATCTGTATTTTCGGTTCGTTTTTCTGTTGGGATCGTTATTCAGTCGGATTTGGCATAAGGTATAAACATGCTTCTCAGTATAATTAGTTTAAAAAACATGAATTTTTGTAGACTTACAGTTTGTAAAATATTTTTAGGCCAAAAAAAATAATAGTCTTGTTTCCTGCTACCAGCCTGAAAAAAATAGGGTAGGTAGGTAGGGAAAAATATTTATTTTATTTTTGCCAGTGGTATTTTTTTAATAGAAACTAATACAAAACCAAATAAAACATGTCATATTGGTCAATATTATATTTTTAAAAAATTAGATATTATCACATCTTTACATACAGTTTCATGAACTACCACCTGATTACATTTTTCTTCACTTTTTGAACATGAAATTCCTGAAATTTCCGTTTTTTTTCCAAAACTTAAAAAAAAACTTTAGGGTTGGGTGCAAAAAAATAGGGTAGGTCGGGTAGCAGGAAACAAGACTATTTTTTGTTTTGGCCTTATTAGTCAAATCAATTAAATTGATTTCTTCTATCCATTTTGCACATAAATTATTTGTCTAGATTAAGTAAAAGGAAGCTTAAACAACAGTTGAATTTGTTTCCTTCTGTCAAAATGTATCGTATCAAAAATAACCGAACCGAGGCCAAATTTTACGATATGTATCGAACCGTGAAGAAGGCGTATCGTTTCACCCCTAGCCCTATGGATGTCTTTTCTCTCATCACTGAGTTGACTATAATCTGCTGACACAAATACAGAAAGCATACAGTTAAATTGAAGCTAAAACTGAAGTATTATCTTATTATTAACCTACAGAGGTTCTGATTTGCTAAATAGCTGGAAAATTGTCAGGGACATCTTCATACTGTGATGTCATTTGGTCCTATGTGAGGATTATAATTTATGTGGGCATTTCAGCTGTCCACAGTCGCAGCTACAGAGCTTCAACATGTTGACTTTATCATTGCAAGTTTACAAAACAACATGCAATTACAGAGATTAATCTTTGGCATATTTTCTACCGATATTCAGTATTTTTCCCCAAGGGAATATTTCCCCTAAATATTAAATTTTCCCCTTTTGATGAGTAAAAAAATTCCCACGGCAATGATAGAAAGCTCATTGACAAATATTCTTTTTCCTTTGTAAAAAGTGGAAATTTAAATGAAAAGGTTCAGAAGATGTGAAATATGGTTTTACAATGTACTTTGATATTTTATGCACTCTAAATGGTCATTAAAATGAGGAAATTCAGTTGGGACCCCAAATTGTGCCTGTCCTGCATGACTAAGGGGTCTTGAGTGGCCCCCAGAACCCCAGCTGATTTTCCCAATTTCTCCAGAAAGGGTAGTTTCCCCCAAAACCTAGATTAATCCCTACAATTGTTTATGACAGTTAAAATGTGACATAAAACTATTATCACAATTATACATATTTATGATAATTGTGTGCAAAAGGATATTCCATAATAAATATAAATAAATTTTAGGACAAATATTAATAGGATGTGGGGAAGACAGATGATGTCTTCAAAGATATTATCTAAGAGTTCTGTTCACATGAGTATTGAATAGATCATAATAAGATATTAATATAAGTTTACATGTTTGTTGAAAAAATACACTTGTACAGGAAATAATTTCTCTCTTTTGGAGTTTGTTCATACATGTTGTTATACAAAAAACCTTGAAGGTAAACCACTTAATATAAACAGAAATATTCTCATCTATATATCTTATTTACTTAGTATTATTTTCCTTTCAATTTTTTTTTTTTAAAACTGGTATGGAGATGCCACCATTTGAAGGTGGAGAGCTGCAAATTAAGACCTGACCACTGTATTTAAGGAGGGATCTTTTTTTTTTGCGTCGGCACCTGTTGAAAAATATCTGGTTTTCATGGATACATGTTAGATATTATATCCCAAATCCACATTAAGTATGCCATTACAGGAACACAAATTTCAGTGTAAAAGCTGTGACCCTGCATGTAAATCCAAATGGGAAGAAAGGACATCTAAAATCAGTGACAGTAAAATATAAAAAAAAATAATTTCTTTTTTCCTGTTACAGATGGCACAACACCTTGCAAAGACCCAGGGAAGTGGGGTGAGTGCTCTACAGTATTGATTAATTCGTGATCGTCTAAGTTCTGTACTTGATGCTTTTGTGTTTGAGCTCATGTAGTTTGTGTGAGCTCGATTCTTGTTCTAAATCGTGTTAATTTTGAGATTTTTGCAAATGGTTAAAATTTGGTGCCTCAAGTCTAACATGCTAATTTATTGTCATTAAAATTAAATGGGACTTTCTCGTTGAAAGAAAATGTGTTGTGCTAGCTCAAATAAGAGAAGTTTACTTTGTGTAAACATGAAATACACAACACCTAAAGCACAGGATCGAGTCACAGGATATGACAAAGACTAATTTGCTAAGGAAAAAAAAACATTTCCCTGCCTTTCGGAAGTTTCCTCTGATTTTTTTTTTTTTTTATTAAGTTAACTGACAATATATTCTAATTTTTAAAATTTTTAATACTCATAATGAATTGAAACTTTTTTAAATTTATATACATAATTAAAAAAATAAAGTAAATTTTAAAGAACCCGAACTATATTTAAAAAAAAATATATTTATGTTTATTTGACATATTATATACATACATGTATATATATCCATGCAGAGTTTTTTTTTATATTAGCATTATAGTTGGAGGTACATAAATATGATGAAAACATTCTTATTTTTAGCATTAAACCAGTCAAAATGTGTGTACAGTCACATGCTTTTGACACAGTCAGCATGGTCAGTGCAAATCATATGAATTCATAAAATTTTTAAAATAATTAAATAAATGTACATTTCAGGAAATCCCTGTTATCATAGAGCCAGAGGTTTGAACATTATGTTAAATAGCTTTATAACTTGTGCATATTTAAAATTAAAGGAGACAATCTTCTTTTGTGTTTTATACAAGTCATATGTAGTCTTGACTTGTGCAATATAGATGTTCTGTTTATACATACATGTATATAATGATTTTTTAAGAGATATCATTTTATTATCAGATTACAGTCTTTGCTCTTATCAGTTGAAGATTTTTTTTTTAATTTTGAATTAAAATTATTGAATGCAGATTGGATATAAGCAAAATCAAAATTCCAGTGCTGGGAACTGATTTTAAAAATATAGGTACTGCAGAGTAAATACAAGAAGATTGTCTCTGGACTATCAAATGGCTTAATTTTTTTTTTTTTTTTTTTTTGAATAAGCAACTTTGAATATAAAATTTAAATATAATTTCTAGATTCTCTTGGTCTTTCTGCTTGCAGCAATAAAGTATGTGTGTATGAACTATACACACATTCCATTTCTTATAAAGCTGAATGAAAATTATTCTATTGTTCTAGGACCATCATAAATATATAATATTATGTTTATAATCGAATGAAAATTGAAAATGAACCTTTGCTCATTGACTTTCTTCTTTATTCAATCAATCTTGAACTTTGAATCATGTTATGCCCTGTCATATGTACTTCCAATCAATATTATTGAAAGTTTCCCATTTTACTTGAGTTATTAGTTATAAATTATGTCAATAGCATAGCATTGTGCTAGTTTCGTCATCATCTTTCCTTGGCATTTTAACATCTATATCAGTGTTCCAGACAAAGAGGTTTTTCTTATTTTCTCACAAAATTAATGTAAACTTTATGTATTGAATATTGTAAACAAGGTAAAAATTAAGAAAAGTATGAGTACTCAGTACTTGTACATGTTATCCTCAAGTAAGGTACATGTACTCTAATATAGGCCAGCATTAAATAATGTTTGTTTGCCCTCTTCCTATTTGGGTTGCTAGGTTCATGTAGGTGAGAACATTTTTTAAATAATTCTCAGAAAATTTCAATTTCAATGCTAAATTTCTAAAATATATTTTCAAGAATACAAAAAAAAAAAAATTACCCGGTAATTGCTTTCTGAAGGTTGAACAAAATTTGAGTGGGGTCATTTTTAACCAGTCAGTCAGGAGAGGGCAAAAAAATTATATTTTTTAAGATGGGCTTACTGAACATGCTTATTCAAAAAGTAAACATCTTCATCAATTTTTCACCAATTACAGAAATAAATAATATCATACACTGATCATTGAGGAATAGCTTTTGACTCGAATGCTATCATCCCTGTTTTAACTGGTCAATGGTCATATGATATTATTATGATTCATATTAAATCATAAATGTGTGTATTAATGCACATATTAAGTGACATAGTGACTCATGGGTCATTTTCATATTAATATTTAAAGTTTTCATATCACTTCATGTTAATGTGCCTCTCATTTCAGACCCCTCCTGTCCCCACCCTGATGACCCCTGACCCCCAGGTTTGTCTTTACTGACTGCACCCAGGCATATTTCTATTTTTAACTCCCTGTTTAATTAGTTTTCACATTTACCCAGCAGCTGGCACATATCTAGCTTACTAAAGTGGGAAGCTGGGCTTATCGGAGGTGGATCCAGAAGGGTGGCCATTTGCAAATACTTTATATATTCAATTTTTTTTTTTTGGGGGGGGGATCTGCAATTATAAAGAACTTGTTTAAATTGGAGAGTAGCAGATGGATTTTAAACTGATATTAATTCATAAATTTTGGATTAATAATACATGTATTTGGTTAATAGTACTTAAATTAATTAATAATTAGCATTTAATCATGATATGAATTAGTTACATAAATAAGACAGATCTCTTAATAAAAATCATTTTAACAGATCTGTTAAAAGTACAAAGGGAACATGATTCATTGATTTTTAAGTCCATTTAAAAAAAGCTTGGATCGGCCATCCCTGATATTTTTGCTATTATAATGTTAATATTTCAACCTACTATTTTTCCCATCTTGGTTATAGGTTTCTGTATTTAGGGATCTTAATTGCATGCCTAGAACTATATTTCATCTAAATGAGGGTATACTTTAGTAATGGTGAATAATTGTTTAGTAAAAAAAAAATATAAAGATTGACTAACATCATTATTAACACTTGATCAGTATTAAAATATTAAATTTTTCAATGCATATCACCTATTTAGTTATTCATCATTGGCTTTTAATTATTATCCCTTAAATTCAATCAAGCTTTCATCAATGTCAAATCCATGACAGATAAAAAAAATATTCACGCAAAAAGTATTAATGATTGACTTTCAATTATATTTTGGAAAATAAAGCTGGTAATAATTGGCAATATGCATTTTGCAAAATAGGTAAAACCAAGATTATCTTTTTGATAAACATGTTTATTTTAATGTAATAGTACTTACTTGATAAGGGAAATCCATGTTTTTTTGTTTGTTTTTTTTTCAATAGTAAATGTTGTCCATTTTAAGTACCTGGTCCATCTCTAACACAAAATAAATTTCCACAGTGTAGACCCTAGATCAAGAGACCGATTTTCCCGATAATCATTTACAGGGGTTATATATTAACTTTCCACACTCTTTCCCCGTAAATCCCGGGGATTTGAGTTTGACATGGTTGTCAGGCCATCCTCCAATCAGCTGTGGTTAATTATAGAGTCCTGGAGTAATTGTTGTTATATTAACTGTCAGAACAGATGGAGGTCAATCTCTGTGTTTCTATCTGTTGTCTGTGCCTATCTGATGTATGGCTATCAGAACACACTGTGTGTATTACAGTACATGCAGGCGTTCCACTAAGGTGGTAGAATCCATTAAGTGCAGGGGTACCCAAGGCTAAAAGTGGGTTAAGAGAGGCAAGTTCTTTTTCTCTCTGGTGCCAGGAATCAATTTTATGAAGATCAAGAGGGATTGTCAGAGAAATCATTGATTCCAAGTAAGTTCTAGGTCAACAATTTTCAATGGTGTCAATACTTGAACATTTGGTCAAGATGAAAAAAATTGTCAAATTGTTAGTTCTGATGATCATGCAAGCAAGGTAGGTTCTATGTGCATATATAGATGCATCCTCTGCATGCTTGAACTTACTGCAGTTTTTCCAACTTGTTAGTAAACAAACAGGAAAAGCCATGTGACCAGCTAAAAATATTTAATGACCTTTTCACCTCTCCAGTACACCATAAATCATGTTTTTCCAGGGCATACATGCAAGCAGTGTTTAATGGACCATTTAATAAAACATTTCAATCTGGAAATATCTAAAAATTTAAAACTAGGTAAGTTTTGACCATTGTCCAGTTTTGACCTTGAACTGGATGTACTGTGTGGCCAGTTACACATTACTGAGCAACATAGTTTAGATAACCGAGTTTATATATGGAAGAGATAAATGATATATCAATTTAACCTTGTGTGTGGCCCCCATCCAGTACATAGAGGTGTATTGGGGACCGTAGAAAATGACAAATCATTGCACTATAAGTAGTGTTTGATGTTTACCTTTGGCATAGCACCTGTCAAACTTTATTGGGAGGGAATAAAATAAATCTCAGGTGAGTCAATGAAAAAAGGTGCTGCCCTGCAGGTTTTGTCCTTTTCGGAGGACAATATTGGTCCTGTTGAAGTAATGTACATTGATTTCATGTTAAGCAAAATTTATTGTTGAGATTTATTTTCAAGTGAATTTATAATGTTTGTGTGATAAAATGAAGAGTATTGCTGCTGAATGCAGTGGAAATTTTTTTTTTTTTTTTTTTGAGCTAGCTGTTTGAGAAAATATGAACTTTTGAATTAGCCACCTGAGTCTCAATTATTGGATTTCTCTGGAGTACGTTATCTGAAATTAATTCTTTTAATTGTTTCAGAAGGTAATACTTTTCTCAATCTTTTATTGTGTAATTAAGACTTTAGAAAATAAAAGCTGGAATCTGTTGAGCATTTTTTTGGTCTGATTCTAACTATTTTTGTAGTAGACTCACTAGAGATCAGCTAGCCCATTTGATTGATCTTATGTGTTCTGTACACAATTTTCAATCCTTAATGTCAGGAATGGCATATTGGCAAAATATCCGTTAAAGTGTTTTAAAGCAAGCGTTAGACTCTATAAAACATGAAATGTCAATAGAATGGAAAAGGTCCATAAGACTGCATTAGAGGAGGGGGAAAAAACTTGCATTAGAGCACTTGGCTTTCAGAAATTTCCAGCATTAGAACTAATTGCAGTTTTGTGTCTGGAAATGAATTGCCCCAGAGTGGAAGTCTTAGACTATGATAAACTCAATGGTTCTCTGTATAATGTGAGTAAATTTACAGCTATAAGACTAACTACATTCAAAGGGCATTGTTTAAATTTGTTAAATTTTTGAAATGTCACAATCCTGTCATGTCAGTGCAGAGTTTTGACAGATTTCTAAATCTATTCAGCAGCAAAATTTCATGTATTTGGTTTCAGGGTAACACTGTCAAACAGCTAGTGCATGCATTAACTAATGCTCTCTCTCTCTCTGAAATTTTTTTGTTTCATCATTCATAGCCTTTTCATATACTAATATTGAGGCATGTTTTCATTTTCATTATGTACATGTATATGATACATGTATTAGAAAAAGTCTACATTATGCATCTATATAAATATATATGTAAACTGTACAAAAATAGTCAAGACAGAACTTTTAAATTCGTTGAACTGTCTGCACTGCACTGTAAGTCATCATCTTATTTTTAAAAAATAATAATACAATCACGTTATATTTGCAGCATGTACAAGGTATAGATAGAATCTTTACTTAATTACCATACCTATATATAAAATGGTATGTCAGTTATAACAATTAGCTTGGTTAAATTGTTTTTAATCATTTGGGAGAATGAAAAATTCAGTTATTTTTAATTTTGAACATATTCAATAGTATTTGATAATTTGATAAAGTTAACTTTATAATTAATAGAATTTTGGTTGGGGATCGAGCCATTGTTTTTTTTTTTTTTGAAAGCACTTTCATTACTCACCAAGCAATTGAAATTTAACTCCTTTATCAATAAAATTATAATATATTAATTGTGTGGTATTTTGATCTTTTATTTCAAATTTACATAAAACTTTAACAACCGTATGTACCATGTGTATCTACATATCCACTGATCCCGAATTTCCTTTGTTGTAGTTTAACCTGAATTTGCTCTGTTGTAGTTTATTAGGAACCTGAATTTCCTCTGTTGTAGTTTAACCTGAAGGAGATGGAGATGGAGGGTGGGTATTACCGGCAGTGTCAGCAGCTGGAGGCCGCCGACGCAATGTCTCACCTGGAGCACATGTGTAAACTGGACATCGACTCGGAGCCCCACGAGGTCAGAATGACTGGCATCATTTGTACCATTGGTGAGTCTTCACTGAGGGTGATGATCAGTACAACTACAGTTTTGTAACTAAAGTCATTGACAAGGATATAGTGACATACATTTCTGAATCAGTACATGTACTTATTCTCAAGTTAGATTCTTTTTCAGTGCTTGTCTTGTTGTTTTTAGTACATGTGTAAAATTTTGTGTGTTAAGTTGTATATAAGGAATATCTTGTTGGACCTTATTTAGCAAATTGTTAATGCAGCGTGAAAGTGCGTAAATTTTCTTTTCAAGCTCTGGGTGTCATCTACCGTACAATTTACATTAGATAGAGAATTTTTTATGAGAATGAGTTGTGCAAGACTTAAATTTTTCTCTTAACTTTTCTATGTTTTATAACCTGGTTCTGAGTGGTTATTTCTGTGACAGGGCCTGCTTGCCGTGAAGTCAGTATGCTGCAGAAAATGATCATCGAGGGCATGAACATTGCACGACTAAACTTCTCCCATGGCACTCACGAGGTACTGTTCTTAGCATTTTAGTTTCCATTGATCAGAGGACAGCCTTCATATACCAGAAGAAGTTTTAAAATTGAAAGATTTCAGAAATTTAGGTCCTGAAAATTGTCTATAAAATCTTCAAATATGTCATATATGGTTTTGTTTTAGTTGTAAAGCATTATTTTTGATCATATTTGTATCTTTGCTATAAAGACAATAAGTTTATCCCAGATAATAAGATTTTCACAAGGGCTTAAATTTTATGCAGTTTTGACTATACACTTTATTTCTTTTGTAAACCATTCAATGTTAGTTTTTTGTGAAATCTTGCAGTACCATGCTGGCACAATAAAGAACATCCGAGAGGCAAAGAACGGCTTTAGTTCTCCCCGACCTGTGGCCATTGCCCTGGATACCAAGGGGCCGGAGATCAGAACCGGGCTGTTAGAAGGGGTAAGTTGTTAGAATTCCTAGTCAAAAACTGTGTTAGTGTCACCTTAGCTTTAGTGTGTTAGGGTCAAATTTTGATATCCTGTCTCCTGAGCTTAACAGGACTGTATATTTAAGATGTGAAGCATGCTTTTACTGAAAATGCTTAAAATGAATCAAGTTACAAACCTATTTTGAAGCCAAAGTTAATGAAAATTATGTGCATTAAATATAGTTACTTCATTATAAGCATGTTCTCTATAAGTTTTACTTTGTAAAAATATAGTGTAATAAGTTATAAGTTGGATAAGTTATACCTTATAACTAATACAGGTGTACATGTTTCCAAAGATCCTGCTCTTACCAAACTATAAGGAGAAAAAAAATGGATATCTTTTACAGTCAAATCTCTTTGTCTCAAACTCAGTGGGACTGATGAAATCTTTGAGTTATCCAAGTATTTAAGATACAAAGAGTAAATCAATTTTTAGGATAGGTAGTTGGGACTTCCAAATCACTTCATCATATTTATGGAATTCAAGATATCAGATACCAGATGCAGACATTTACAGTTACTGTGATTTTTTTTACATGATGTAGGGGGCCTCTGCTGAGATCACTCTGAATGCTGGGGACAAAATAAAGATCACGACGGACGATAAATACAAAGAGAAGTGTAGTAAGGACGTGCTGTGGGTGGACTATAAAAATATCACCAAGGTCATGTCAGTCGGAGACAGAATGTACATAGACGATGGTCTCATCTCCGTTATAGTCAAGGAAATGGGTAAGTTTACGTAAAGCTGTAAATCACAAAACTACATGTCTACATAATTATAGTCATGTCGATCAGAGACAGACATAGTGTTCATAAGCGACATGCTCATTTCTGTCAATTTCGCGGATATTGGTAGGATTACCTAAACCTGTAAATCTCAAAGTTTACATAAACTTGTCCAAAAAAAAAATTTATTGAAAAAGTGCAGATACCAACTGAGGTTTATGATTATGTAATTAAGCATGAGAGTAAGAGAACATAAACAAGTGTATATACATGCATGTCTTTCATATGTATGGTCAAGGCTTATTTTGGCACTAATTGCTTAAAAAAGAAGGTTTTTATAGAAACGAAATATACAGTTTTCAAAATAATGATGATAATGAGACCTTGGCAATAAGATGAAGATGATTTTCACCATACTTGTATATATTTGATCTTACCTAAAGGTGCTGACTATCTGAACTGTCTGGTGGAGAATGGGGGAGACCTGGGGAGTAAGAAGGGCTGTAACCTCCCCGGGGTCGCGGTGGACCTCCCAGCAGTGTCAGAGAAAGACAAGGAGGATCTACTGTTTGGAGTCGAACAGGGGGTAAGTCCAGGGGGGGGGGACAAGTGACTAGGGAATATGTGGCCAGGGGGTGCGGGTGGGGGGTGGGGGGGGTTGAACAAGGGGTCAGTCCTGGGGGACAAGTCACTGGGGAACATTGACTGTTGTGGGTTGGGTGAGGGATTGTAGGAGTATTTTGAGGGGGAAGCCATAGGGTAATAATGCAGTGTCAGAGAAAGACAAGGAGGATCTACTGTTTGAAGTAGAACAGGGGGTAAGTCCTGGGGAATAATGCAAGGGGAGGGGGGATGTGAGGGGATCTTAGGAGTATTTTGAGGGGAAAGCTGTAGGTTAATACTTTTAGTTAGCATATGTTTAAGAGGAAACAGAAGTGAACAAAGAAGTATAGGGGTAAATAAATGGGGCACATCTCAAGAGGGAATTGTTGGAAAACTTCTCAAAGACAGGAAAAGGCTGGTTCAAGGTGGGGGATATTTTGAGGGAGAATTAACAGGAATACTTAAGAAGGTGAAAAACAGAGAGACGGTTAAACGGTTGGAGTCATAACAAAATATTTTAATTGAGAATTGTATAGTTTCAGCTGCAGTAGTTAGATTATGATGTTGCAAGTTGGGGGGGGGGGTAATCAAATCACAGGGAAGAAAGTCAAACCTCATTATCTTGAGCTGGATAGGACATAGATATTTGGGAGTTTGGAATGTAGAGGTTAAAATTTACAGAGAAAAATTATTATGAACCTCCATCTTACTTAAACATATTGATGGTAATCAACATGGATAAGTTCAAGAAGATATCTATAGTTGAACTGTAATATCTGTTTCCCAATACACAGGCTTGGTATATGTTGTAGGTAGACATTGTGTTTGCTTCCTTCATCAGAAGTGGACAACACATCAAGGACATCAGGAAGGTCTTGGGAGAGAAGGGCAAGAATATCAGAATCATCGCCAAGATCGAGAACCATGAAGGGGTCAAAAGGTCAGTCAGAGGCTTAATTACTGTGTTAATTAAGTGAATTACAGTTGCTGCATGCAGCAGATCACTGACTTAAAACGTATGTTTGGCTGTGCATTATTTTTTGGCGCTTTTGGCGGAGAGAAGCTTCTACTAATTCAAGTACATCGCTAAATGTTTTGCACCTATATACATGAATAAGAACATTAAGAAATGTGATAATTAACTCAAATCTGTGCTAACTTGTTCAAAAATCAATTTCCGGCAAATATCGTACATGCTACAACAAATTCAAAATTCAGGTGAAGTGCTTTTCATTCCCCATTAGCATTATAATCAAACTGGAAAAAAAATATAGAAACAAAGTACATTAATTTTTTGGGGTCCTAGGTTCTTGCATGGGAATATGCAGTAATATGATTTTAGAGAAAGTACAGTACACTGCTTTCCTCAGCGCATTGAAAACACATATTATAAATGAACCGTAATTCACACTTTTAAGATGATGAAGCCTTTGTCTTGATTTCAGTTCCCTATTACATGTACATTTTGATTTTATTTTAGATTTGATGAAATTCTACAGGAATCTAATGGTATAATGGTGGCCAGAGGAGACCTGGGGATAGAAATCCCTCCCGAGAAAGTCTTCCTGGCTCAGAAGATGATGATTGGTCGATGTAACAGGGCGGGAAAACCTGTCATTTGTGCTACACAGGTTTGTGGATTCTGCGGAGACAAAATTGAGTCAACATTGTCAAATTAAAATTAGAGAGCTCACGATAATGATCACTGATTTCCAGTGAGTTGTCTTTCTTTGTACATGAAACTATATAGCAATACAATAATCAAATTTCCCACATGTGTATTTTCTTGGTAAAAAAGTTGTTTTTATGGAAGTTATGATTTGTTGAAATAAACATAACATCTGGCCCATGTAGATATGTATCTGTAGAGAAAAAGTTGAAATAAGAAGTTTTTTTTCTGTAAAAGAAAAAGTTTAGGTTTTCAGGAACTTTTCCCTTATGTGAAATTTAGAATGTCCTATACATGTACTTGTAAATGAAGTTATGTCAATGTAATGTGTAGATGTTGGAGTCAATGGTGAAGAAACCCCGCCCAACGAGGGCGGAGTCCAGTGATGTAGCCAATGCCGTGTTAGACGGGGCCGACTGTGTCATGTTGTCAGGGGAGACAGCCAAGGGAGACTACCCACTAGAAGCTGTCAAAATGATGCAGAAGGTTTGTGCCTTTTCTAAAATTTTGTTAAGTATTGAATGATCATTATCCAGTTACTTTCTATGACATGCTTTTTCACAAGAAAGTCATAAGGCATAAGACAGACAAAATGATTATGAAATCTGGTAATTGTTTAATGCAAACATTTTTGTGAAAATAAACAAAAATATCCAAAATTGATCTAAAATATATATTTTTTTAATTGTGAAAAAAATACAGATATTTCCGCTTGTTGAAATAATAATGAAGTAGATAAATTCATGCATAAAAAGGAAAAAACTTTCATTCCTTGTAGTTTTAAAAAGAAAAAAAATTATGAAATTGGATGTAATGAAATGAATTTATTTCAAAAACTTGTCTCCAGACTTGTGTGTTACTGAATAAACTTACAGATATAAAACAGATCACCAACACTTCATGAGAATACAGTAGTAAATTTATTTTGTCTCCAGTATTTCTTTGTGTTGTATTACTGAGTAATTTTACTGTTTCAGATCTGTAGGGAGGCGGAGTCAGCTGTTTTCCATCATCAGCTGTTTGAGGAGTTACGTAAGGAGACCCCCACCCCCACAGACGCCACCCACACTGTTGCCATAGCAGCAGTAGAGGCCTCCTTCAAATGTATGGCAGCTGCTATTATTGTGATCACAACATCAGGAAGGTACAGTACAGTTCTAAAGACTGTATCATCTTTGGTATAAGTATGAAATTATCAGGAAGGTACAGTACGGTTCTAAAGTCTGTATCATCTGTGGCATAAGTATGAAATATGGCATGCTTTGAGCTCTCTTCTTGGACATATAGAACAAACAGTGTCTGTATCCATTTTGAAATATTTGCATCCTCCTGTATTCTGTGTCATGTCAAAAGAAATTGGGCTTATCTTTATTCTAAGATTTATATCGTCTGAAAAGTTGAATGTATTGACACACCTCTGTATCCTGTTAGATCCGCCCACGTGATCTCTGTTTCTTTATTGTGTGAATGTTAATTGTATTGACACACCTCTTTATGCTCTTCACTGATAGCCTATAAACCTAATCTAAGTTTTATATTTTCAGAGTGTTAAATGTATTGACCCACCTCTTTATTCTGTTAGATCCGCCCACGTGATCTCAGTTCTTTATTGTCTAATTGTTACATGTATTGACACACCTCTTTATTCTTTTAGATCCGCTCACCTGATCTCTGCCTACAGACCCCGGTGTCCCATTCTGGCCATCACACGGATAGAACAGACAGCCAGACAGTGTCATCTTTTCAGGGGGATCTTCCCCATCCATTATGTGGGTAAGTACTCGTGTAGAGTCAGGGAGAAGGGGGGGTCTGTTGTGTGTCATGTGGGTAAGTACTGAAGGGGGTGGGGGTTGGTTACGTAATATATACCGTATAACAGGTATTTTTTATGTGCTGCTAATTTTTACTAATTTCTACGAGTTTTATAAATCTGTAAAATTTAAATGCGTAAAATTTCACAGAAGTAAAAACACCTTGCCTAAATTTTGAGCATCGTATTATGAGAGTATTTCAATGCTATCATTGCCATTAAGCTAAGTACCTGGAGGCTATAGAATTAGTACTGACACTTGTTGGTATTTTGGGGAACTTTTTAATTGATTATCAATTAGGATCAAACAAGTGAATCTTAATTAATGCACAAATTATACAAACATCGTCAATTACCTGGTTCCTCTAACAGAACGCATAATTTCTGATAATGGCTTAAATATTACAGACTGGAGTCTTCAAATTATACCTGTTATTCAAGAGTTTTACCTTTTTTTCTTTTTATTTGCTTCCAGTAAAAGCTTCGACATTTTAATGCATCGTAATCCGTGTCACCTGTAATTCTGTCAACTCAATCATGTTGCTTGAGTTGTCTCTCTTTGTTTTCATTAAAATGAAGACGGGCACGTGGTGCGCAACAATAATGATGCGTGAACATGTGTATTAATTGACAAAGGAATAAATTCAGGGCATGTGATATATAAAGGTATTTAAATAAATAAACATATCTTCATTTAATGAATCGACACTCGTTATCACAGGAACAATTTTGTTTTTATTTTACATCGGGTTGTCCACACATTTAAAACACGTATATGTATGTCAACGCATTCAAAACGCTTAAACATTGATCTGGAACTTCACCTCTGACGATTTTAATTTTTACAGACATGCTCAATTCGTAAAAATTTAATGCGTAAAAAATAAAATCACCCTATTTCAACAGAAATCCGTTAAAATTCACAGCAGTAAAAATTACCCGTTATACAGTATATATATATACTCTGAAATAACTAATTTTCATGGTGGTTTAGTTTTTGTGGTTTTCTAGGTTTGGAGAGACCTAGAATTTATGTCCACCATGAAATATAATGTTAACAGATAATTCAACTCAACAATTCTTTATCCACAACATCAAATCCCCATGAACCCATATTTTTAGGTCACCTGAGTAAACTCAGGTGACCTATTGCTATCTGTTGTTGTCCGTCGTCGTGCGTCGTGCACCGTGCGTTAACATTTGAACATTTTCAGCTTCTTCTCTGCAACCACTCAACCAATTTCAACCAATTTTGGCACATAGCATCTACGGGTGAAGGGGAACAAAAATTGTGAATTTCATGTTCCCTGCCCCCCTGGGGCCTGAGGGGTGGGGCCAAAACCACTAAAATTAGTGCAATCTTTAAAAATCTTCTTCTTTACTCCTGGACATCAAGCAGGCAAACTGTTGGCATGAATGTAATGAGCATTGAGTCCTCTACCAAAATTGTGAAATTCATGGCCCCAGGGTAAGGGGTTCTTGTGCTAGGGCGGGGCTATATAGATTATATAGTGAAAATACATTATTTCTTTGAAAATCTTCTTCTCTGCTCTTGGGTATTAAGTAAACTAAGTAAGTACATACTTATGTTGAGCAAGAGTGCCTCTTTCAAAATTGTGAATTTTATGGCCCCAGGGTCAGGGGTTCTGGTGTTAGGGTGGGGCTCTATTGATTATATAGTGAAAATGCATTTATTCTTTGAAAATCTTCTTCTCTGCTTCAGGGTATCAAATAAACTAACTAAGCACATAGTTATGATGAGCAAGAGTGCCTCTTTCAAAATTGTGATATTTATGGCCCCAGGGTCAGGGGTTCTGGTATTAGGGCGGGGCTCTATGGATTATATAGTGAAAATACATTATTTTTTGAAAATCTTCTTCTCTGGGTATTGAATAAACTAACTAAGTACATAGTTATGATGAGCAAGAGTGCCTCTTCTAAAATTGTGAATTTTATGGCTCCAGGGTCAGGGGTTCTGGTGTTAGGGCGGGGCTCTATTGATTATATAGTGAAAATGCATTTATTCTTATTTACAAGATACTCAGGTGATCTATAAGGCCTGTGGGCCTCTTGTTTTCTCAAACCACGATAATTTGAACCCATGAAAATTTGTGATTTTAAAGTATGCACGTAGTCTATGTTTGTAGTGTAGATGTTGTATTTATACATTCCTGTAGTAGTACATCTGTGTTCTTTAGTGCAGTCTGCATGCATGCATTTTTTCCCGCTATATTTTAACATGATCATGAATCGCTATTTGTCTTCACCTTTTGCTCTATAGATATATAATGCTATGTTCATAGTGTATGCTTATACCATGATATGCTTTATACATATCTTATGCTTGCTCCTGTATGCTTAACCTATGCTTTTCTCCCTTGCCTGCTTTATATGTACCCCATCATGCTTTTGTGCTGTATATAAGGAGCCCCGCGTGGAGCTTTGGACGGATGACATGGACAAGAGAATCTACAAAGCTATGGCACTCGGCCGGAAACGAAACTTCATCAAAAAGGGGGATTTCATCATTATAGTGACAGGATGGAAATCAGGGTCAGGGTACACTAATACCCTGAGGATCATTAATGCCCCCGAGACAGATGAGGGGCCCATACTAGGGGTTCCCGTCATTAAAGACTATAATGACTAACTATAGAATTCTGTACTTATATTGTGGCCCCATGTCCCTTAAAAGGGGTATTGTAAAGTTGATTTTGAAAATTGTGAGTAGGAGAATAAAGAGATAAGATATAGAATTCAGGAAAGGATTGTTAGAAAAATTAAGCACTTTGAGTTTCATGCAGAAACAGTTCAATGAATTTCAAACTCCACTTTAATTTGTTATTTAGGATCACCCTATATGTTATCTGTTAAAATATAATTTATTGCATTTTGTCTGTGATTTTCATGTTTACCCAAAAGTATATACGTCATAATAAATGATGAAAAAATACCCAATAAATACTGTTGTTTACTTATCCAAAAATTATTCCTGTCTTTGAACATGATGAATGATGTAAAAATTATTTTTTTTTTAAAGATTATCTGAAATATAAAACTTACAAATGATAAATATTCCATTTTATTTAAAGATGTTTACACTAACAACACCATTTTATTTTTCTGTAGTTTTCCTGGGAATGTTGCTTGCATCATCACATCTAACCATGTTTGTGATTGTTGCTCACTTTTCTTTTTGCATGATTCTGATATTTCATGATGTAAACATAAAGTGAAAGGTTTATCTACCAAGGATTTTCTTTACTAAACTATCAAATTCCATCATTGTATTAGTAAACAGATGTATTGTAGTTCTGACAAAATCACAATTTATGGGTATTTAGAGTACAGTAAAGCACTCTTGCAGCCAAGTGCAATTTTGATTTGTTATAAATGAAATTTGTCATATCTGTTAAGTTCACACTACTGAAAGTCGAGCATCCATGTGAATTCATTATAAGTGCATCTGTTATAACCCTGCTTTACTGTTTAAGGTCACCTTGATATGAAAAATAATGTACATTACACGTGAATTTAAATGTAATCCCCCCCTCTTTTGTTATATTTTTATTACAGGTACATTGTTGATACTATTCACTGTATTGATTGTTCTTTAGTCACCAAACTCATTGTTACATTGTTTACTATTTATGACACTTTAATATTCATTATGGTTTGTATGAGGAAGGGAATTTGTTTTAATTACTGTCACAGTTCACTTTCAGATTCTAACTGATAAGGCCATCCTTAAAAAATTTTTGTTTGCCCTCTCCCAACCGTCTGCCTAAAATTGCTCAAAACCCTCAGGAAACAATTTTTTTTCTTTCGTTTTATTCCTGTATATTCTGTTCTCTTAACATGCTTCTTAAAATTTTCTGCAAAATTTTTCCCCACCTACCTACCAACCCAACTTTTTTTACCCTGAGTCAAGAAAGGGCAAGTAAACAATATTTTAAACATGGCCTTATCTTGAATTGTTTAATAGTTTACAAAGAAATGAAGTAAAGCATTCATGTTCAAGTTTTCCATTTACAGTGATTTACTTGATAAAAAAATGTTTTTTTGTTTCAAATTATTTCAAATTTTCAAGTAATATACAGAATTGTTCCACAGTTCTAATGTTATAAATAGTAAGCTTTAGCAAATTTGTTTTTAACCCTTTGTGTGCGGGAACCCAATATATTGGGTCTGACGTCACAAACGCTACCGTGCGGGAACCCAATATGTTGGGTCTGAGTCTGGAATTAGCGCTTCGTCACATAAAACGTAGTATAAAACGTATAAATGACTTGTGAATTATTAAGAATCTATCAATGTGTATTAAA